GCTGCTGAGCAGGGGCCGAGAGAGAGTGGGGTCTGTGTTAGCAGCAGCAGCAGCAGCACAGCAGCAGCAGGCAGCAAGGTTTAAGCCCCCGCTAGTTGTGGTGAGCCTTCAGCTACTGTTTTTGTTTATTATGAGTTTAGTAGTTTTTGTTATTGCTTTGTTATTACTATAGATGGAGAGCAGCAGCAGCAGCAGCAGCAGCAGCAACAGCAGCAGCAGCAGCAGCAGCAGCAGTCACCGCCGGCTAGCCAGCCCCTGAGCCTAATGCAGCAGACGTTATCGTTCTTGCTGCAGCAGATTCAAATACAAAATTGTAAATAATAAACAAACGCATGCATGAGAGGTTGTTGCTGCTGAGTAGTAGTAGTAGCAGCAGCAGCAGCAGCAGCAGCAACAGCAGCAGCAGCAACAGGACCACCAGCTGCTGTCTCGTATCGAGACTCTCTTAGCAGCAGCAACCGTCGCTTACCTTTGGCTGCGGGGTGTCCTTGCTGCTGCTCCTTTCTGCTGCTGCTGCTAGCAGCATTCATCACCATCTGCTGCTGCTGCTGCTGCTGCTGCTGCTGCTGCTCCCGTCATTGCCACTGCTGCTGCCACACAGGCGACTCAGCCGGAGTCGCAGTGGTCACAGCAGCAGCAGCAGCTGAAGCAGCAGCAGCAGCTGCAGCAGCAGCAGCAGCAGTTGCAGCAGCAGCAGCAGCTGCAGCAGCAGCACCAGCAGCAGTTGCAGCAGCAGCATGAGCGAGCTGCTCGCACCCACTGCCCACGATTCGACGGGCACCAGAAGCAGCAGCAGCAGCAGCAGCAGCAGCAGCAGCAGCAGCAGCATCACGCAGCAGCAATAGCAGCAAGGGGTTGCAGCAACAGCCAGACTTAGGCAGCAGGTCAGAGCCCTTCTGTGTGGAGATGCGCAGCAGCAGCAACAGCAGCAGCAGCAGCAGCAGCAGCAGCAGCCGTAGCAGCAGCCGTAGCAGCATCAACAGCAGCATCAACAGAGACGAAGCGGAGGGGACGGCGGTGCTGAGCAGCAGCAGCGGCGTCAGCAGCGAGAGAACAAACAGCAGAAGCAGCAGCAACAGCAGCAGCAACAGCAAACGCCACAGCAGCAGCAGCAGCAACAGTAACGACAATAGCAGCAATATGAGCAGCAACAGCAACAGCAGCAACAGCAGCAGCAGCAGCGATGAAGGCGGAGATGCTGCTGCTGCTCCCCAGTTCAGCAGCAGCAGCCACAGCAACGGCCTTTACAGCAGCAGCAGCAGCAGCAGCAGGAGCAGCAGCAGCAACAGGAGCAGCAGGGGAATTTGGGACAACGATAGCGAAGATAGTAGCAGCAGCAGAAGCAGCAGCAGCAGCAACAGCAGCAACAGCAGCAGCAGGAGACGACAGTCTAACGCTTCACCAGCAGTAGAGGAGCAACAACAAATGCAGCAGCAGCAGCAGCAGCAGCAGCAGCAACAGCAGCAGGAGCGGCAGCCGCTCATGCAGATCTTTCGCAGGGAAGGCAGCTGGGGAGGCATGGAAGACAGCAGCAGCAGCAGCAGCAGCAGCAGAAGCAGCAGCAGCAGCAGGGGCAGAAACACCAGCAGGAGTGGGAGGGGTTGGAGTAACGACAGGAACAGCAGCAGGAGCAGCAGCGACAGCAGCAGAAGCAGCAGCAGCAGCAACAGCAGCAGCAGCAGCAGGCGTAGAATTCCTACATCTGCTGCATCAGGTATAGATATATCTATCCGTTCTATATCTGAGACAGCAGCAGCAGCAGCAGCAGCTACAGCAGCAGCAGCAGCAGCACTAGCAGCAGCAGCAGCAGCAGCAACAAAAAGTATTGAATCTGCTGATCAACAAAACCCTCTGCTGCAGCGCGTTGTCTTCGATGACCTGCAGCAAACATTCGCCCGCAGCAGCTGCAGAGCCAGCAGCAGAAGCTGCTGCTGCTGCTGCTGCTGCCCCTCTTGCACATGGAAGCAAACGCTCCCCATGCACAGACCCCAGCATGCAGCAGCAGCAGCAGCTGCTGCTGCTGCTGCTGCTGCTGCTGCTCCGGGGACTACCACAAGCTTCTATGTACCCGCCAGCAGCACCAGTACTAGTAATAACAGCAGCAGCAGCAGCAGCAGCAACAGCAGCAGCAGCA